TTTCACTTGTCAGGTTTCTGATTATGCTTAGGCCTTAATTTGAATTTTGGGATATATATTTGTGTTGCAAGTGAAGCAGTCATTCTCTTGCTTCTTCAGACAATTTTTTTGTCACTTGAGTTCATTGTTTCAAGGACCACCCCCAACCGCCCGCCAAAAAAAACCCCAATTTTTTTTTTCAATTTGTACAGAGTAGAGATTGATATTCCTGCATTCAAGCTATTCAAAAGGATGATTCATTTTAATTGGTATTAAATGAAACATTCATTCTATTGCTTCTTCAGAAAATTTTTAATTACCTCAGTTCATTGTTTCTAGCCAAAAGGAAAAAAAAATCAATTTCTAGAGATTAGAGATTGGCATTCATAAATTCAGCAATTCAAAAGGATGATTCATTATAATTGTATTAAAAGAATCAAAGTATATCATATAACAATAGCAATGTTGTTCAAATTGAAAGGGTTTGAGAGCATTATTGTGCATGTGACACTTAAGTCCTTGGTTAGATCAAAGTCCCTGTCACCGCGCCAAAACTCAAAGTTGCCAAACCAAAACTCTGAAGTTGTGGTGACGGCGAGGGTTAACTTTATAGTCTAACATGCCTCCGTAGGTTGAAGATCCTTTTATGAGCAGAAACTTGGACCCACACAGCGGTATCATTTTTTTAATCCGCTTTAAATTTGTGGTCTAATACCACCTTAAAATCCCTGCCACTGCACAAAAACTTCAAATTGTGTGCAAGAACTGAATCTAGGTTCCTCTAATACCACCTTGAAGTCCTTGCTACTGCACAAAAACTCCAAATTTGTGGGGAGGGCTGAGTTATAGTTTTGTATTTTAATAGACATGTTATATTAACATGTCAAATATGCAAACATGTTTATGGTCCATTCTCAATTATGGATGGCCCACAGATCATTTGGACAACTTGGCTCGTCAAGTTCATGTTTCTGTCCGAGTAGGAGTAAGAAATCCATGTCATATTTTCATACAAAATATTGGCTTACTGGTATAGTTATGGGTGATCAGAAGATTTCTTTAACTTTTTAATTGTTGCTATTATTTTTACGGATGTTTTTAGAGTCTTTTTTGTTGCAGATTGCAGTATTCCTGTCGTGTTCTTCTTTCTTGCTGATGTTTTTTTCTTGTTTGCTAACATGGACCTCAGGCTTATGAGAATAATGAAGGACTGAAGCTTAAAATGCAAAGGGAAAGTTCTGTAGATGTTCCATCTACACCTATGACTGTGGACAAGGTTTAGTTCTCTTTCTCTCCTGACTATGCATGCACACAGCTCTCTTGAGCAGCTAAACTCTTGAAGAATTTTTATCTGCTGCAAATGGACTGTATCATATGAAGACTTTATTATCATTGCCATTATGTGAGCCCTCTAATTTAAATGGTAGCTTTCGGAGCAGATATTATCTCAAGAAGGTTCTGGAGACAAAAGTGATGAATCTTTTATAATCTGCTGTCAATCTAATGTTAACGATTACCTATTGGCAAATCCTGATCAAGAAAACAATGAACATTGCAATAAAACCTTGTTAAATGAATTCCTTTTGCAATAACATCCATATATTTAGATACATTCATCAAATCATCATGATTCTTTACAATTTTAACTGATTTTTTTTAGCGACAGATAGGGGGGAAACAACGAATACTTCTCACACCCTTTCTACTCGTGCCTCTTTTACTGCTTACTTTGCCTAGAAGAACAAGTTTTGTGGGACTCATTTTCATTTTCTTTCTCATGTAACTATGTAAGTATTTTTGAGTCCTGTCTCATTATCCAGAAGACAGATTTGCTATCAAACTAATATTCTGCTTGTATTATACAAACTGCCTCTCAAGTAACATATTCAAAATTTAACTGCTCATCTTATTCCTCAACTCAACTTCTTGAAAAATAATATGGATGTCCATATCCTAATGTTTTTCATAATCAGTATTTTATATAGTAGCAAAAATTGAACTCTCACCTATGAGTTGTCAAAACCATTCAATTCTTCCCTTGAACACTTGTTTCATGAGTCACTGCTGAAGGTTGGTGCCTTGATCAAGGTCTTAATCCTTAGCACACTAGTGAACTTCAAATGCTTTTTGAAAAGCATGTTAATTCCTGGTATAGATGAAGGCATTGATTTTTTTTTAAGTCGTATACCTTGTTTTTTTTTAAAGTGATTACAGCATTCTTCTTTACAGGTAAAATTAGGTGAACCTGGATACAAAGAAAGGTATTACATCGAGAAATTTGAAATAGAAGAATCAGAGTCAATTGATGACATCAAGAAGGATGTTGTAAGTTATGTGGCTTTCTTGTATGCAAAAGTATTCAAAATTTCTGTAACAACTTCCAGGTTCCACTTATGCATATTAACACTCCCATCAGCTTTCATCTGTGGTTTTAAATTGTTATGTAATTACATAATTGTTCTGCCATTGGATGTGGTTAGCATCTTGTGTAACAAACTAACCTGCAATATTAACAATGCATGTAAAAGTTATGTTTGATGGCTCATGCTATGATTATGTGATTGGTATTACTTTTGAATTAATTTGGTAGAAATGATTGACAAATGGAAATGTTGGCCATTTAGATATTTTATTTTGTGTATGCAAAGATGTCATCCTGAACTTATGGCTAGTATTGATTATATATGTCGTGGTTAGTTCTGCTTCTGAATCATTGCTTGCAGTATTAGTTCAAAAATATAATTGACGTTATTGGTTCTAGATCTACTGACATAACAAAGACACACATTTACCTCTCTTTGTAGGTTACTAATCCATTTGTAAGATACAATTGACAAATCAGTTGGTAGCTTAATTTTGTTCATTAATTTTCAGGTTCAGAACTATGTGGAAGGTCTCTGTTGGATCATGCGATATTACTACCAAGGTGTTTGCTCTTGGCAATGGTGAGTTATGTTGATATCTCTAAAATAATTGGTGGTTTCCCCCTTCAACTATAAACTTTTACTATTAAACAACACAGATGTATTCTAAGCCATTATTACTCTGTATCACTATCACTTATCAAATAATAAGAACATGATGGCCTATTTTGTATGTGTTCTACTTACTATTGGATCGGATATGGCAGCAATCATTATAGGGCAGGAATATTTTTGCATGTTATATGCTTTATAATCATTTTGCGCCTCGTAAAATTATATTGTTTCAGGTTTTACCCTTATCATTATGCCCCTTTTGCGTCTGATCTCAAAGGTCTGGCAGACATGGAGATTACCTTTTTCCCAGGGCACCCATTTAAACCTTTTGATCAGCTAATGGGCACATTACCAGCTGCAAGGTTGGTTGCTATTGAGAATAATTTTTTATCAAAGTTTCTTACGAAATCTTTATAGGAGCTTTTCCTGCTTTTGTGTAGCTCCAATGCACTGCCTAAGCTGTATGGGTCTTTGATGACTGACCCAAATTCACCTTTAAAAGAATTTTATCCAAAAGGTAGAGTTGATTGAACTGGAATCTTCTATCCATTTGCATTATTATCTGTTCTTCATGGATTTTATGTTTCCCTGTTCAGATTTTAAAGTTGACATGAATGGCAAACGCTTTGCATGGCAGGTAAGCATGTTGGAGTTATTCTTTAGCTTTTTGCCTATTATTTGTTGTTTCAAGAAAAAAAAAATATCTGATATTCTTATGGAGTTCAGGGTATTGCAAAACTTCCTTTTATTGATGAAAGACTTCTGCTTTCTGAAACAAAGAATCTTGAGGACACACTAACAGTACGGATAGTTGAACCCTTTTTCTACTTTGGTTTTTGTTCCATGTCAGTACTTAATTTAGTAAATATCTAATTTAATAAGTATCTGTTTCCAATAATAATCTGAGGAGGCTTTTTGCTCACACAGGAAGAAGAAAAGTATCGTAATAGAAAAATGTTTGATATCTTGTACGTTTACGAAAGACATCCCCTAGCGGCACAAGTTGCTTCACTGTACCATCTGTATTCTCGGTCATTGGAAGGACAATCATATTGTATTCAGATCAATCCAGCATATAGGTAAACATGATACTGCAGTAAGTGTACTTACTATGTCAGTCTCATGTAATTGTTGTGTTTGCGTTGTTGCAGTGATGGAATGAATGGGTTTCTATGTTTATGTGAAAGGAACAGTTACAATACATCAGTTTCTTTTCCACTTGAAAGGTGGAACACTGTTGAAAATAACCGAGTTCTGTAAGTATCTATTTACTGGCTCCCATTCTACCCTAGGTTAATTCCAACAGACAATTGTTTTCATCAGTTTTCAGAGCTCCTGTATTGTGCTAAAATATTTCACCTTATATTTTGCAAGAAATGCCACCTATCTCAATCCTAAGAATCATCAACACATTCCAGAACCACCTGAAGGTGTGATAATGCCAGTGAAGGTACTTTTTGCCTCCTTTTGTGAATGCAAGGACTTGTTAATAAATTGCAAATATTGAGTTGTGCTAGACTCATTTTTTGTGGGTTATTCTTGCTTTAGTACCCCCTAAGTTCCATCCATTTTTTTTGGTCCTGAAGTTTTAATCTGTTAAAATGATACCGTAAAATTTCACCTTCTTTACACTTAGTACCTTCAGTTATATGACCGTTGAAGAAGTTTCCAGTGGTAAACATTAAACAGCAAACATTGAATTGTGGTAGGCTCCTTTGTTTTGTGGCTTATTTTCACATCAGTATCCCAAAGTTTCATTCATTTTTGACTTTGATACCCTGAATATATATCTGCCAAAATGATACCATAAAGTTCCACCTACTTTACACTTAAATCTTCTTTATGTGACCATTGGAGTTTCTATTGGAAGGATACCATAAAGTTCCACCTACTTTACACTTAAATCTTCTTTATGTGACCATTGGAGTTTCTATTGGAATTTTATCATGTGACTATCACGTGATTGTTTTTGAACGTTGTTATCCTTGTTTTAAAGAGAATACCCTTGAAAGGATAGAGATGGCATTTCACGTCCTCGACCGTTAAGAAAAAAAAGTCTTAACTGCCTCTTAAAAACTTCAAGGCCTCTTTTGGGAAAATATAAATTTCAGTGTATTAAAGTCAAAAATTGGCGAATTTTTGGAATATTATAGTGAAAGTAACCCTTTTCCTCATATCCATGCCTTCCCCCTTCTTTGTTGTGAAGCACTGGGATCTACTTGTGGCAGCACTTCACAGTGAACATTAAAGATAATTTTGAATTATTTGTTAAATAAGTGGGGGAAAAGGGAAAGAAAGAAAGAACGAAAAAAACTTATAGAGGTTAACCCTTTGATAGTGTTTCTTCCCAATATCTATTTCTCTTTTACCCATTCAATTGACAACAATATTGGATACCATCCAGGGGTAATGGAGCTGTGCCTTATAAACTCATCTATCTGTGACAATGTGCTTTGACGTTGCCATAATCTTGTTGCTGCCACTTGGTGCTGCTTCTGCTTGTTACACTGCTTAACTTTGTTACTAAGCTTGATCACATTTGTACTAGATATGACATGATTTTTAATCCTTTTTTCAGCTTTAACTGTGAAGTGATAAATTTTGATCAGATAAACCTGTCTTCAGTGCAATTGATGTCAGTAGGGAGTCTCAAAATTTGTAACTTAATACGACGTTATGCATACTGTGATGTGATTTACTGCTTTATCTAGGTCATAGATGATGTGTAAGTGCATAATCCAGCGAAGATGGAGCAACATCCGAGTTATAGTTAGATTAATTGGCTTCATTTCCTTTCCTTTTCTGTTTGGTTCTATGACTTGTTCAAGCTAAATGATTGTATCACTTATCCCCTTATTTTCCAGGTTGTGAAACCTCAAGATATCAAGCCCTTCCCTGTATTATGGCATGAAGATAACCGGCGCCATCAATCTAGAGAAAGGTATTGCAACTGCATTGGTTGTAATGTTATCGTCATAGACAGTTTCAGACTGTTCTGCAAAACTAAATAGAAAAATTTGCTAGAATTTCAAATTCAAAATCTAGTGGCTGCAAAACTAAATAGAAAATGTTGCTAGAATTTCAAATACAAAATCTAGTGACCAAATAGTTCAAGCTGACAATGTTAGATGATACTGTTTAAGAGATCCATAAAGAATTTTCATCATTTTTAAGTCCTATTGTTGATGACAGGCCACAGGTTTCCGGAGTTATTACTGGCTCAAGGCTAGGAGCAGCAGCACATCGTCTGGTCATAAACTCTCTGCAAACCAACTTCAATGGCAATGCACGAGTTCAGAGCTCGCCAGCAGGAATTACCCTCAAATGATTACCCGACCTAGGCCAGCTGGATCTTTAGGATATGAAAGAGGCTTCAAGGAATCTAATATTCGTCATCATTATTCTGGTCCTATACCCCGAGCTATTTCAAACTTTAGGCCGGTTAATTTCTTTAACGAAACACATCTCGGCAGGCAGAACTTTAATTATCAAGAGCAGTACTATAATCTCAGGACAGGGATGTCAAATTTCTCAATCGAAGAGGGAGCAAGCTTTCAGTCTTATGCAAGAACACAAAATTCTGGGCCTTTCTCAAATCAGCAGCAAAATGTCCACCGTCCCGGTCCTCCACCCTCACTACCTCCCACAAATTGGAACGGTAGTGAACAACAAACCTCATCCAGGGCAATTTATGATAAGCAGCAGCAACAGCAGATGAGCAAGGGACACCGAATCAAATCACAGGCCCCTGAAAATTCGTCAGATTTTGCAAGGCAGTATTGAATTCACATCAGATTTTTTTTCTCCCTTATTGTGACGTTGCATCAAATGTAACTACATTATATAGTGATCAAATGTGATTATATTATATAGTGATCATGAATTGATGATCATTCTTGAAATGTTAACAACAGGGTTCAAGGCTTAGCTTACGCACAACTTCCGCCTTCGCAAAGGAGTAGGTTTTTTTTTATCTCGCTAGTATTCTCTGGTATGTTTACGAGTTCAAACAAGTCGCAAAATTGTGAAGTTGCGAAGTTTTTGAAACGCTAAACGTATCCGGACGAGGCCTAATTGCAAGAATAATGAGTCGTTGTTTAACCTTAGCCAAACCCGTTACACATCAAAAAGACCTCTTAATTTACTCGCTGACTTAATAACCAAAGTCCCAACACCGACAACCCCCCGCTCGACGACTGAAAACCAACAAATTTTACCGCCTCCTGAAACTAATCATTGGCGGTTGCCAGCTGAAGGGACAGCAGCTCCTCCTCGGGGATAATCCTCACCGTACAATCCGACCTCGGACGCGCCACGCAGAGCAGCGCGTACCCCCTCTCGACACGTCTCGCTGAGCATCCCTCGCTCTGGTCGACCTCCCCGCTGAGCAGCCGCGCCGGGCACGTCATGCACAACGCCCAGCCTGGCAGTCGTGGGGGACGCGCCACCCCCGTCGACCAGCGCCCGGTCGAGATCGAGCTCGTCGGGACTCGACGTCGGAGGCGCGGGTCTGCCTTCGTGCTCGATGGTGACCTGTAGGCGGAGCGACGGAGAGGTTGGCGGCGGGGGAGGACTCTTGAAGGGGAGGAGGCGAGGGGTGGCGGTGGGGTTTGGGGAGGGGCTGGGTTTGGGACGGGGTGCGGGAGGTGGCGAGGGGGCAGCGGGGTGAGTGACGTTGCCATTTTTTTCCTTTTTCTTTTGTTTGTTTGTTTAGGGGCGCGTGAGAGAGGGAGGAAGATAAGGTGCGTATGGCCCTTAAATGAAGAAATTTTGTTATAAACCCATTCACATTAAAAAAAAAAAATCGACCCTATTGAGATTTTATTACAAAAACCGATTCATTTTGTGGCCACGTCAGCATGGTGGTCACAAAGTACGCCTCCTATGAATTTACAAGCTAAATTAGTCGGGGTTCGAAACCCCGACTAATTTAATTACACGTTTAAATTAGTCGGGGTTGAAAACCCCGACCAATTCGAAGTGTAGAAGGGCTGTGAACATGGGAGAGGATAATCCTTGGGCCGATTGCATTACGTCAATCCAATTTTTTTTTCTCCTCTAAGACATGAGCCACATGCTTCTTAGCTGAAGTGGGATTTGTCCTCTTACGCTGACGTCTTGAATGAATCTACATGCTGCTCCTTAGCTAAAGTGGGATTCGTCCTCGTATGAATCCACTAGCCTCGAATGTGAATTTACAAGATAAAGTGGGATTTATCCTCTTGCATTACGGCCAATTAGACAACTAGTGACCGTGTTGTTGTTGTGGAATTAAAAAAAACCAAAATGAATGTGAAAGCCACCAGACTCGCCCTTACCCTCCCCAGCCAATTGTTTTGCTAGCTATCGAATTGGACGGGGTTCCCAACCCCGACCAATTTTAACGTGTGATTAAATTTGTCGAGGTTTCAAACCCCGACTAATTTGACTTCTAAACACAGGGGGCCTCCTAAATAGTCGGGGTTGTCAACCCAGGAACGAGATTAAAAAAACCGACGCACTTTGTGGCCACGATGCTGACGTGGCCACAAAGTTGGTCGGTTTTTGTAATAAAATCTTAATATGATCGATTTTTAAAAAAATGTGAATAGGTTTATAACAAAAATTTCTTCGCCCTTAAATCATTCATATTTTGGAATCAGTCCCTCAAATCATGGAAATTGTTGCTATTTACGGCCCTGGATATCTGGGTTACTTTAAAGTTAACCTCTCGAATCACTAAAATTGGTTTTTTCCCAATATTGCCCCCTCATATTGTAGCTATTTCTAAATTTGCCCCTCAAATTGAATTCTTTCTTCAAATTTGACTAAACATGATAATATACATGTTACAAAAACAGGTTTTCAAAAAACATCTCCCATTTATAAAATATCATCATTTTGCAAATATGTCCAAAATATGAAAACATGAGATACTTGAATTTTGATGTTTTTGACATAAACCAAGTTTTGAAACTTTGTAAAATAATTTTATAGACTTGATAAAAAGTATAAACTATAGTTGTTAAGTCTATAAACCATATAAACCAAAAACACAATATTTTTCCAAATATAATAGAATATGAAACATATAAAAGTGTATATGAAGATATATATTGTTTCATATCTATATAGCTAAACCAAAACATATATGTATATATATAACTATATATATACAAAACCAAAACGTGTATGTGTGTATATAATTGAGCTTAAAGTACTAACACACATAATATAAAAACCTAAACTAAATTACCGAAGCAATGATCTTGATCTTCAATAAGCTCTTCTTAGTAAATTTGCAGATGAAGCTTGAACTTGAATTATACTGTTTCACTCCATTATTCCGCCAACCTCCATTGGATATGATCGTGAATGCTTAATTACATCCATCCTCCAACATATTATTTGTCTATAATAAATAGGAAAACACAAACACTAGACAAACAATATTAGAAGTAAATTATTTGTAAATTATCGTCAAAACAAAAGGACCCAACAATACTCACGTGAGTTGGTTAATGTAAGTTTGTGTAAGTCATTAACCAATTCATCGAAAGTAAACAATTTTGAAATAAACAACGGCTTTGTGACACCTCCTTCATAAGCGGGCATATTATTTTCAAGATAGTTAATCTTCCCATCATATGAACAAAGAATTACGATTCGATCGTTCATCATTACCTCTAAAGAGTAAAAAATTCAATATCAATATTAGAAACCCATAATTAGAAAAACCCATAATTTAAACCATTAAATCTCTTATATCGATATTAGAAACACATAAACTTGACATTTTGTTAACTTCACGGTTACAAATTTCGATAATTTCCCTCTTAACTTCATACACAATATTATTTAATTTTTCTTCACAAATTTCATAAATAATTACAAATTTATTTAAAATTTAATTTTTCTTCACAAATTTCATAAATAATTACAAATTTATTTAAAAATCTAATTTTTTACAAGTAATCACCAAGAAATTGTGAGAATATATAAATAATTACAAATTTATTTAAAAATCTAATTTTTTACAAGTAATCACCAAGAAATTGTGAGAATATATAAAAACTTTAAATTTAATTTTTTTAAATATTTTACCTTAATATTAACGATGCCCTAATTGAGGTGAACTTCAGCAGTGACGACGACAGTGAGGGCCAACGGTGGGGGCTGACGGGAGGGGCGACGACGTGGTCGGTGGCGGCGCCAGTGAGGGGAGAGGGTGAGGGCGAGGTGAGGGCTAGGGGTGAGGGGGTCGGGTTAAAGAGGAGAAGAATGGCTAGGGTTATGGGACGACATCGCTTCTGCCTTATATAGGCAGAGCGAAAAATCCACGGGACTTCAAGTCCCGTGGGGTTGCATTTCTCATTTTCCAGAGCCGCGACTCTTTGGAAAATGATCTTGAAACTTTACGGGACTTCAAGTCTCGTGAAGTTTCAGCAATAATAACAAAACTTCACGGGACTTCAAGCCCCGTGAAGTTTTTTGAACTTTTGTACTTTACGGGACTTCAAGTCCTGTGAAGTTTAGCAGCTTAAGAAAATGACTGCTAAAGTTCACGAGACTTAAAGTTTGTAAATAGGGGATTTAAACTTCACGGGACTTCAAATCCCATAAATATTTTTTGACAAATAAACTTGGAAGGGGTCGTTTTTGGGGAGTAAGTTTGCAAATAGGGCTCTTTTGAAAATTTGTCCCTGAATTTTTTTACGGACAAATTTTTAAAACAGACCCTTTTGGGTTTTATTTGTAAAAAACGACCTATTTCGAAAAAATTTACAAAAACCGACCTGTTTTCAGCCCAGCGCTGAAAACAGGTCGGTTTTTGTTAAAAATTTTCCGAAACTTCACGGGAGTTGAACTCCCGTGAAGTTTAATTTTATTCACAAAACTTCACGGGAGTTCATCTCCCGTGAAGATTTATGCCCATATATCGCCAGAGCTGCTCTCTGGGAAGTTGAGGCTGCAACTTCACGGGAGTTGAACTCCCGTGAAGTTGCAGGTTATACTAAACATGCACAGCCTGCTGTGCATGTTTTGTATACGTACCTGTTAACTCATATATATTAACTTATATATACCAATTTATTTGCAAACAACAATCACAACAATATATACATGATTCAACCATGAATTAAACATGCACGATTATATATATGAACAATAATTGATCTTCAAAAGTTTAGTATTTGAAAATTCAGGAAAGTTACAAATTTTAACAAAATAAGTTTAAATACAACCCAATATAGCTCCCCTTCTTCCTCTCCCTCTCTTCCCCCTCCCCCTCGCTCTTCCCCGCCCCCTGGGTTCCTACTGATGAGTCTCAACTATCTGTGTGTTCGGCTGTGTATGAAGCTGCGAAGGGCCAGCTCCATCGGCATGCGAAGTGCCGGCTCCATCGGCATGCGAAGTACCGGCTCCATCGGCATGCGAAGTGCCGACGTCATCATCACGTGGTCGTCGACGTTGAGTGTACGCCTGTCCAAATGAGCGAGACCTGTCCTCGCGGCCTGCGAAGTCGTCGACGTGAGTCTTATGAAACACCTGCGCTATGCTCTTCTTGATCTTGCTGATGAGCCCTAACGCCACCTGATCCTGAATCTCAGTCGCGTGCGCATCAATATCAGCATCAATGCTATCTAAAACACGGACATGCGAGGTAAACAATTTATTAAGTACCAACTCAATAAAAAATGTTATAATTTAGCTTAGAAACTTACGTAATCTCTCTCGTTCATCCCACTAGGGATGTAACTATCTGTTGGTAGGCGTGGCATGTGTCCAGCTGACGGCTGTGGGTCACGCGTGATCCATCTACGTGTGATACCCCAATACCAACGCATATACGCGGGCTGTGGGTCACGCGTGATCCATCTACGTGTGATACCCCAATACCAACGCATATACGCGGTATAGTCAATAGCTGTGGGTCTCGTATCTTG